GCTCCTGACGATTTTTTGACCAGGACCACGTTCGCCAGCCACTTCGGGTACTTCACGGGGCGGATCAATCCGGCTGCCAGCAGGCGCGCAACCTCCTCTTCTATCGCCTTCAGCTTGTCCCCGGTGAACGTTCTCCGCCCTTGTTGCCTTGGTTCGGCGCCGGCTGGGACCGCGAGGCTATGCTGCGCTACCTCCCTGGGCACTCCTGGCATGTCCTCTGTGCACCACGCGAAGAGCTCCTTGTACTCCTTCAGCAGCGCTATGAGTGGTTCGATTGCGTTGCTGCTGACGTGAGTGGAGATGCGTATCTTCCTGGTCGGCTCGGCAGGGTCTAGCGCGACCTCGAAATCGGAATCCATGGATTCCGGGCGGGGCTCTTCTGCTCTTGTGTCGACGATGTTGGTTTGGCGTGCCACAACGCGGTCTTCCCAAGTCGTTCCTCGCGCCTCCCCGACTCCTCCCTGTGTTGGAAACTTGAGCTTCTGGTGACACGTCGATGGGAGGGCCATGAACTTCGCGAGGAAAGGTCGGCCCAAGATGCCATTGTGCGCCGATTCGCAATCGACGATTGTGAACTCTATCTGCTTGGAGACGCGGGGCTCCTGGTCCCCAATAACCACTGGGAGGGTGACCACTCCAATTACCGGGACTCTGGTTCCGGAGAAACCAACTAAGTTGCCGTGTGCGCGCCTGATTAGGCGCGGATCGATATCCATTTTGTTGATGGTACTCTGGAAGAGGATGTCGGCCGCACTACCCCCGTCTATCAGGAGACGGTGGGTCTTGCAGGCGGCAATCAGCGCGGTGATGATGAGTGGCTCCTCCGACGGGATTCCTTGTGGGAACTCCGCGTCGCCGAAGCTCAGATTGAACTTTGGCGGTGCGTCGACAGCCGCGCATTCCGTTGCGCGCTCACGCTTGGTTTTCTTCTTGGGACGATCTCCTTCGACCGTTACCACCCCGATTTCTTTGCGCACTACATACGCGCCTGTGTCATCGTCGTAATCGGCTTGTGGGGGTGGCGGTGGTTGTTGCGGCGCTTCGACTTGCTCCTTTTTCACGTGGATGAACTCAGTTAGCAACCCTCGCCGTACGAGGCCCTCTATTTCGTACCGTAAATCTCGGCATTCTTCTGTCTTATGCCCCGTTGCTCTGTGGAATTCACAATGCCTGCTCGGGTCGCGCATGTAGGGTTGAGACTTCAGCGGGGCAGGCCAGTTAAGCTTGTATCCTTTCTCGCGGAGGACGTGGAACACGTTTCTCACGGAGTCATTGAGGGGCGTGTAGGCATTGGACACGCGCCTGTCTGGCGATCGCCCGCGCTGTCCCTGCTCTGGTGGGGGAGGGGGGTTGCGCTTCGGACCACTGTGCATCTGTAGTAGTTGGTCCCGTGGGATTGGGGTCGGAGGTTGTCGACGCGTCTGTTCCTCTCGCGACATTCTCGCCGGTTCGAAGCGCCTGACGGATCCCGCCCCCAAGGTTTCTTCCAACGTGATTGCCTTCTCGATCTTCATCTCCAACTCCGTCGACAGCGTGACGGGCCTTTTTGCTAAGGCTCGTTTGAGCTCCATATTGTTGGTTGCCTCCATGAGGTGATGGGCGGCTGTTTCGGGAGTAAGGTCGCGAACGGACATTGCTACCCGGGACCATCTGGCGTAGAAAGCCCTCAGGCTTTCTCCGTCTTTTTGCCTGATATCTATCAGGGCCTTGAGGTGGAGGGGGCGTCGCTTCTGGGACGCGAATTTTGTGGTGAACAGAAGTATGAACTCCTCAAATGAGTTGATGATTCCATTGGGGAGGCGGTTGTACCAATCGAGGCATATCCCGGTGAATGTCGAGGGGAAGGTTCTGCATAGCGCGGTGTTGGAGTTGGTTTGGAGTTGCATGCGCAGGCAGAAGGTGCTCACGTGGTCCTCCGGGTCGGTAGTGCCGTTGTATGTCGGGAGGGTTGGTGGCGCTCCGGTTAGGTTCTCTGCCATTATTTGCGCGCTCAATGGCTGGTGTAGGGTCCTTTTGGGCGGGTTGGGCCGGTATTGCGGAGTCAGGTGTTGCTCCAAGAAGCTGAGGTCTGCCCGCCCCGGTGGTTCGACTTCCTGTGTCCCGCGTGCGGGAAGTTCCGCTGGCGCGAGTTGCGACGACAGGATTGTCCCTGAAGTTTCTCCCAAGGCTTGTTGAGGCGCGCTCGCTGTCGCGTCCGTCGTTGGCGCGCCTTCCTTGCTCATCATGAGCGCGATTACCTGGCTCATTTGCCTCTGTACGTCGGCTATGACGTTGTTTTGTTTCGTCAACAGCTCCCTCATTTCTTTGGGCGTCAGCTCCGGTTCTTCTTCCTCGATGAGTACCGCGTTGAGGTTGCTGGCTTCTGCGAACGCCCTTGGGTCAGTCATCGCCTTGATCGGCGTTGCTTGGTCAGGTTGTTCGAGATTGCGCTCTGCCATTGGTGGGTCCTTTTCAGCGTTTCCTCTCGGCCCCACGGTGGGCGCCAATTGTTTGAACCTAACTGAGTGTAGGAGTGAGGTTCGAATGAGAGTTTGGGTCGAGAAGAAACGTGAGAGCCGGGTTTGATCGGGGGAATCAGAATCAGAGAGAGAGAGTGAGCGAGAGATTAGAAAGAGAAGTAGTTCTTGTAGAGAGAGAATGGTGAAAAATGCGATCCCCCCTCACCCACCGGAGTAAATGCCATATTTATAGGCTACATGGAGGTGGGTGAACGGGTGGATTACATGATGGGACTTTTGACCCCTGATGTGACCATTGACATGTCAGGGATTTAGGCCATCCCCCTACCTAGGACCTGTCTGGGGTGTACCTACGACTATGTCTCTGATCCCAATGCGGCCGGCCCTTGGGAAGTGTGCGAGGGAGGCTTCTTGCGGTTTTGTGGCTCGCGGCGCGTCGGGGCTCCCGCGCCTTAACCCCTTTCCACTCGCGCGCAGCTTGTGGAGGACTCTGAGTACGCGCGCGTCATTTCTCTCTACTCGCGCGACTACAAGCCTTCGTGCGCGCCCTATCTCAGCGCGTCTTGCCTTGGCGATTAAGCCCGAGTCACATGCCCAACAATTGCCCCCCATCAGAGGGTGTTCTGAGGACGCCCTCTGTTTAGGTCTTTGCTTGATTGACTCGGGCCCGGGGCGCGGTTCTTGGGATTCTTTGTGCGCGCCTGGCCGTTCCGTAGCCGCGTTAGGATATCAGTTGTAGTCGTCTGATAGTGCGCGCCGGTCGTGGGATTCTGATTCACTTGAGATGCGTGCGCGATCTTCGCGGGATTTTTTTTTTTTTCTTTTTCCTCGCGGGTGTGCCATGCCCCCCAGGCGCTGTGCGTAACTAGTTATGTCAGCGGCTAGAGCCTACTCCGAATAGGTGTCCACGTGTCCTTACCTGGTTCGTCCGTTTGGGCGGGCGAATTTCGAATTTCGAAATTCGAAACGTCTGACGGTTGCGATTTTCGAGGTTACTTTAACCCTTCAACTTCCCTCTAATAATTATAAGTATCGACCCGTTGTGTGGGTTGGGATTCATTCTGCTTCATTCTTCACATCTGAATTCTGCTCTGTTCTCTCTCGTGTTCTGGTTCATCGCCGTAATTCTTCTTCTTCTTTTACAATCTTGAGCCTTCGATCCTTGTTCTTGTTGCTGTTTCTTGCTATCATGGACAACATCAACACCAACGCCGGCGAGGTTGAGATCGTACACGACGAAGAAGGTAATGTTTCCCCCCTTGAGGGGTTATTTTATTTTTTGTAGTGATCGATCAACAACTCGAGCAAAATGCCAAGCATAGAACAGAGTAGACCGACAGTATATAGTATATATCAGAAATAGCCCCCTCTCATATAGACACGTTTCTGATAGAAGCCTATAAAGAATGTGAACTATGCTCAAAAGGTTGAATAGAGTATATTATGGAAAAGCAAGAAAAAAATCTCTACCACCACTACCCTCGTTTGTCTCTCCACCAGCACAACTGGAATGTCTTATTGGTTCATATAATTAATGAACTCTGTCTTAATGTAATGGTATGCCATTCCTAATTTAGTCTTATTGAAATCACATGGTTATTCATATAGTATTAGAAAATCTTATCGTGAAATTTCGTGTTTTATTAATTATGAACCTCACTATGAAATATTTATGCAAACTTCGAACTATATATTAACTTTCGTTTTTTATCTGATATCTAAAAAAAAAAATTATTGCAACCTCATAATTATTCTAGTTTCCCCCTCACATACGATAGCATTCGTTGGTACTTGATATTGTGAGTCAGTTTGAGATGAATATAATATTGAATGGTTTAGAATGAAGAGTAAGATGTATTAGTATAATTATTGGTGCGGCAGTTTTAGTCTTCTAAAGTAGGCTTCTACGCATAGTATTACTGTTGTTCTATTGCGCCACTTCAGAGGGTTGGGCAGTAAAGTGGAGAAAAGGTTAGGGGGATATGAGAAGGCTAATTGAAAAGTAATGGGTTACCAACTTACTCATTTTTTACCAGTACTAGCGTTAGGGTTAATCACTTTGTATTATGCTCTTTATCATAAAAGTACTATATAACATGTGGTTTTATCCTTAATAAGACACAAGAAATTTAATACTTTTATCATTCACGGATCTCGAAACTTAATGATTAACTATTAGATTAACTTATAGGTTGTTTTTTCTTATTACGAGTATACAACAGAAATTATATGTCAAATTATGTAAAACAAGTTGATCAATCATTGACCTCGATCAATTCTTCTTCTTATTATGAGTCAGTCTTGAGGTCCAAAACTAATAACTATGTATTAGTCTATTAGATGATATCAAAGGTGCAAACCTACTCCTAAGAATCTTTTGGAACTGGTGCTTTGAATATTCTGTCTCTTGAACGCCTTCTCATATTAAGATTATCGAGAGAACAGGCAATTCCTTTGCCTTCTTGCTTGCTTTTCTTTGTCTCGTTTCTTTTGTTCTCTTGTTAACCAAATGTGTGCTGGTTTACACGTTCTCACTTCCAGAGCAGGTGTCCTCTCCTTCTATGGCAGATGCAGACAAAGGATATGTGTTGGAAAGAAAGTACACGCTCAGGAAAGTGACAGACAGACAGCCAAGAGAGTTCGATGTTGAAACTTGGGTGATACCAAGAGTTCTTACAACCACATACAAGAGAGAAGAGTTGGGGAAAAAGAAGTGAAGCAGATTAGCCCATTAGTTATATTCCAATCAAATGTGTTTAGTTATGGCCTGTCATGTTTGTCATTAATCAGTTCAGTTCAGTTCCCACCCAACTTGCAGGCCAACCCTTTCAAGTTTGGTTGGCCTCTGGTGTAGTGGATCACATGAAACATGTCTCTTCGCCAAAACTCAGACAGCAATGGATGGGATTTGGAAATGGATAGGGGCAAATCTTTTTACTCTTATCATCGACCAATGGTATGGTGATCCTTGATGTGTAGGGTTGGGTAAGACGGGTAGGGTCTTTACATTTATGTCATTGTTTTGAGGTGATTTGGATCCTTCAATAGCCAAAACATATGTAAAATGGAATGAGTTATCTAAATTCATATAATTATGATGAATGTAGTGATAATCATCGATGAATATGTGAGTGATGACACTAGTTGAGGTTTGTAATTTATTTCTTTTAGTTTGTTTGTTCAGATTTTGATATTTATGATCGATGTTTGTAGTTTGATGTTTCAGTATAATATAACTTTTTGCATTTAACTAATATGACATTCGTCATTATTATCTCTCTTTTCATTAAAATAATGTTATTCCGCGATTTTTACACACAAGTGTCTCAAAAAATTCATCAAATTACACCTCGCTATACATTGACCTAACTTGAACTCATGTAGCAAACCCAAAATTTGCAACTATGGAGAGAGAAATACTTGTTGGCCTGGAGAAGAACTAAACAGCTAGTCGAGTTTTTACCTGTTGGAAAGGATATCAAACTTACAAAATTTCTTGTTTTGTTATCCTTAATAAAATTCATATAATAAATTGTAGGATTCTTATTAGAAATGGTAACATGGAACATTTTATAGATTTTGCACTCGGAACCACGAAGTTTTAGTATGGGTCTATGTAACTAGTTTTGTCTTGGTTATTTGGGCCAGACCTTTGTTAAGTCAAATTAGTATTGGATTTGACAAGCGTGAGCCTTGAAAAGGAGCCCAACCTGGTTTACGTCCAAGTGTTTATCAAGTAGTCGAATTTGAGACTTGCACAGCCATGGCTCATCAGCCAACTTCCACACTTTCAGAAACGAGCAAACATAAAAAGAAACAGCTTTTTACCTCACTAGTCACTAATATGACTATTGTTCTTATTTCTTTCCAATAGACCATGAGATGGTTTCACCACAGTTTCTTTCAGAGACTATGACTATGACTATGACAACAGAAAACCACAGTTTATCATTGTTCTCTAGACCAACAACACCACACAACTAGATGCTAATTGATCTCTACATCTTCCAGCAAAAGCCACTGCTTTCATTGTTTACATGGATCCATTTCTACAAGTTCGAGTGCCCAACATGGAGTTGAACCCGGTGCCACGATGTGTTCAGTACCCCTCTCAGGTTCCAGATTTCTTGCACGCTTTCAGGCTGCACATTTGCTGCTGAATCCACCTGCATTTTTGTTGATCAACACACCATACAAACTCATATGATCATTACTCCGACAGAGTGACAAATCAAATTATCTGTTTCTTGGAAATCATATAGACACATGATGCGGAAAAAGGGAGCAAACAACTTACTGCTTTAGCCACAATCTCTACACTATGAGGGACATCCACAGTAGCCTCAAAAAGAACCCATGCCCATTTGTCACTGTTCGTATCATCGGATACATATGAAATTCCGGGCTTTTGGTACCTGGTAGCTTCCACCCAGGTCTTACCACCATCCATTGACACATCGACTCTCTCGATCCCCCGCCCACCTCCTGATACTGCATACCCGCTGACCCTAACCTGCAGAAAGCAAGCGAGCTGCAACCCATGAGTGTTCTGAAACTATGAACATACAAACTTTACTGGGATTCTCCAAATTAAAGAGCCAGAAAAGTATTGGGTTTTGAAATATCGAGGCAGTTCTATCACTTCATTACTACATCCTAGTGGAAGGACGAATACATCATTTAATATGCAGTGCTGAAGGGAAAACTAACCTTCCCAGGCTGCTTCATGATAGTCAAATCCTCTAAGGAACAAATGGCACTCTGTAGGTTCATGAATTCATTTGTTAGTCGATTAACTTATCAATGTTTTCTCAAGAATGCAAAGTTGGAGGTTAGTTGGAAAGCACCTACCTGGACAGGGAAGTCCATTTGTGGCCTCCTCGTTGACCAATCAATGTTATCCCAATTGACTGATGGCGGGAACATCTTATAGTCTTTTTGCATGAAGAAGCCCTGTTCAATAGCTAGGAAAGTTTTTGAGGTCTTGGAGGGATTTAAGATGAAAATTCTAATTTCTTATGGAGGCAAGAAATCTACACGAACCTGACATTCATTGGCTAATATGTTGATGGAATCCAACCACTTCACAGAACGAGCACCTATGACACCTGGGACAACCACTCGTAATGGGTAACCGTGGTCCCTGTTTAAACACTTTCAACATGACAAACATAAACATATAATTTATTAGATTGGTCCAGAACTTCAGTAACCTATTGCCTAAAAGAACAGACGTGGCAGCATTTGGCCTTTATCGATAATCATTCAAGCCCAATTCTCACAACAGGTATCTTGTCCACCAAAAAAAAATGCGTTAGGTTTACTGACCTCTCCATTCATCTCATAAGCAAGTAGAACATCAGCATCAGGGTTTGTGGCTTGGAAGAGCGGAATCGATGCTTTATAAGGTCCCTCATTCTCCTCCTAAGATTTAGGTTTTCCAGTGATATGAAGAGGCAAGTCAAGTATAAGTCAGCCATAGAAGCCAGAAACCTTATACCAAAGACTGTAGTCAGTACCTTGCATTTATCAATGCTCACAAATTCAACATGCTTCCCACCAGACTTGGTGGCAGCAGTGAACTTAGGTATGCCAACAAGTTCGAGAACATCAGCCAATTTGGCACCACCCCAAACAGCTGGAGGAAAAGTAATCATCAGCACATTCAAAAGCTTAGAATCAATATGCTATCGATATTATCGGACTAAAGAACTCCATCAAAGATTAGGCCATGCATGTTATTTTTCAGCACAGAGGAAGCACAGCTTTTAGAGGTGGTAAAAGGATTAACCATTTCCAATCGCAGAGATACCCCACCCGACTCCTTTAACTGTCTTGAATTTGCTCATGGCAGTCCTCCTGTTACCAGCACACTATATACCCCACCAAAAAAGAGCAAATACCTTAAGTTCAAGCAAAGTAGTCCAAATCAAATTTAAGGCAGAAAAATGTCTAAGACTTAGTAAGACATAAGATACAGACTTCACCTGCAAGGTAGCTGCAACACTGTACTTTGGAAGCGACCTATCGATGATGAAAGAATGAAAGTCAGTTTACTAAACCTACGCTTCAGCTGTTCTGCATCCTATTAACACAACTATATAAAATTTACCTGATATCTCTCATGGTCAGCTCCTTGGGGGTTTCAATCAGCCCATTCAAAGAGACGGAGTATCTGCTCACGACAGTCAAGAATATAGAATCAATAACAATCAAACAGAAGTAACTTTCAAGGGAGAAATGCACCAAATGTGTAATCGTGATCACGACCTTTCAATATCATCAACCACTGGAATGGGACCATGATTTCTTTTATAGAAAAAGTCCACAGGAGTCACATAAGAAGTCACCAAGGCTGAACGAGGTGGCTCCGCATTGAATGGTTGCTGGCAGAAGCACAAACAATTGAGCACCATGATCATTTAACTGCCACCCCAGAAACCACTCAACAATACTATAATCTATACATGAATATTGGGGAATTCTAGCGTAATGGAAGAGATGCTAAGTCGAATTTCATTCCACTCAGCTAAACAATTCGCGGATAAAGAAGCTGGATTCATTGAATCATGAACTATCTCATATCAGTTAAAGAGCATGAGCCATAGAAAGAACACTCCAATTTTATGATTCCATCACATAGTTCGCAGTCATCCCCAAGTGAGAAAACCGACTTTGAGGGAAAGAAGAACAACCCAAATGGGGAAAAGCTGAGGACGTGAAGCAGACCTTGGAATTGATGACGAGGGAAGGATGGCGAGTTGGTTCCCGGGAATACTCCGACGGACCCTTTATTCCCGGCATTTCTTTTCTTTCTATCCAACAAATCCCTTACAATCCTGAGAATCGCTGATAGAGTTACAGATATACAAAGAGAGAAGGGATAGAGAGTAGGGATTCTGAGTTTTCTATTGATTCCTTTCTGCAATATCAATGGCGATGAGAGAGCCAAAGAAGGTGGTAGAGATCAGAAGAGAAGAGGCCAAACCTTTTCGGTGGTGGAAGTGAGTGTAGTGGAAGCCTGACTGTGACCTTAGCCGGCCCAACAAAAAGAATGACGTGGCCTTCCGGACCAAGTATTCCAGCCCACCGTTTCAGCTTAGAATTTTAAGGAATGAAAAAGGTTTTTTTTTTATAATAAGGGTGATATATGTTTTTTTTATTATTATTAGGTACTACTGAAGGGACTTGAACCTAGGACCTCCAGGTTCATGGCTAGTGGTATTACCACTAGACCAATCCCTTGTTCGTAATGAAAAAGGTTCTTTCGGAAATTCGAAAATCGAAAATATGATATTTTATGAGAAATTGTAATTCAATTATGTCGAATACAAATTGTCTATCAATTGCGCTTCTAATAAAAAAAAATTATAGTAAAACTGCCGATACGGTATAGGTTTTCAATCATGGTAGAATCCACAAACCAAAAACTAGGGCTGGGCATGCGGGTGGATCATCCGCGGGTTTGGGCCGACCCACCCGCATTTGACCCGAATTTCGTTAAGTGGGTGGGTCTGTGGGTGGGTGACGGGTTGCGCTGGAAGCCATCCGCCGGGTGGTGGGTGGGTTGTGGGTGAGTGTGCGGGTGACCCTCTCAACCCAACAACAAAAAGATCAAAGTCGTTGGCGCTAGAGAGAGGAGAGTGGAGACGTTAGATATAAACTCGGACTGCTCCTGGAGTTTGAACCTCAAAGCCAACCTTCCAAATAGAGATCCCCTCTTCTTCCCTTTACTTTTTCCTCTAATTCTTGTGCCTAGATCACCGCTCTTTCCTTTGTGGAATTATTTTCCTTAGTTCCTTGCACCTAATAATCGTCTCAATCTGTAGAAAACTCTTTCATAATAGAATTTCTATCCAATTTAAGAACTAATTCGACATTTTTCGCCCTATTTCAACTTCTTGTTTCCCTCGATGATTCTCTTCACCTATTATCATGTCAAGTTGACTCATTTATATTACATACGTTGTGATGTGGGTGAACCCACAAATCCACCCGCATCATCCACCATCCGCCCGACCCAACCCGAGACTAAATGTGGGTGGGTGGTGGGTTAAAAATTATCAATCCATTTAAGCGCGGGTGGGTGCATTTTATGGTCAAAATCCACCCGACCCACCCAGTGCCCACCCCTACCAAAAACCAAATTAGTTGATATATTACGTCTCACATTTCCACTGAAATATTACAACAAATAGACGATAAAACACTTCAGGCCCAATAATTAAATGTCGGATAGACGATGGGCTGCCAACAGGGTTCCAATTCCATTAAACGGAATCCACTAGCGGGTCGTTATCAGGCTCGCTATAGGCCCAATCAGGCTTCCACTACCCTTCACAACCTCATCCACACCACACCCCAACCTACTCAAATCAAAGTCAGAATCGTGAAAACCCAATCTCACCCATAATCATGGCCTTATTAACCTCGCATCTCTCCCTTCTAATCACTACAGTTGTGATCTTGAATTCCCTCCCCACACATTCCCAAATTGACCACTACCTCGTTTTCATGGACACCACAACAATGCCCAAGCCCTTTGTTGACAGACACCAGTGGTACACTACTTGGCCACTTTGTCCTCCGTTTCGTTACCTGCAAGGCTTGTCTACGGCTACTCCCACGCCATCGATGGGTTTAGCACTACCATGACTCCTTTGAAGTTGTTCTCTGTGCAAACGACTCCAGGGTATCGATGAAGTTGAGGGACCGGCCAATCGAATACTGGAAAAAACAGAACGCTCTCTTAACATGCAAACCTCTCCTCCAAGGAAACTCTCGTTAAAGGCAAGAACCATTGCTCCGGCGTAAAGATTACCTGGACAACTTTGCACAGAGGACAGCTCCAAAGGCGCCATAAGTCGTAACTCATCGATGACGTGGGAGTAGCTGTACACAAGCCCTGCGGTCGATGGAACGGAGAACAGAGTGGCCAAGTACCACTGGTGTGTGCCAACAAAGGGTTTGGGCATTGATGTGGAGTCCATCAAAACTAGGTAGTGATCAATTTGGGAATTGTGGAGAGGGAATTCAAGGAGATCGCAACAGTACTAGTGATAAGAAGGAAGGTTGATGAGGCCATGATTTTGGGTGGAATTGGGTTTTCTTGGTGCTGACCTTGATTTCAGTAGTGTGGTGAGTGGATGAGGTTGAAACTTGAAATGCATAATTCATCATATATAGACAGCAGAGGAACATGGAGGTTGCATGAGTAACCTATCTCTTGGACTGTTTCGTAACTTGACAGTTCCTCCAACCAATTTCCAGATTTTAGTTGATACTGTATAATGCTTGCATCATGTACAGATAGCAGAGCATGCATGTTGCATGACTAACCTAATTTCTTGGACTCTTCTCCAACTTGTTAGTTCTTCCAACCACTTTTCCAGATTTTTTAAAAGACGAGGTATAATGCATTCATCATATATAGATAGCACACAAGCTCCATGAGTGCATGTGACCTAATTTCTTGGACTGTTTCTAACTCACTTTCCAGATTTTGATTTGTTCACCCACCTACATTTGGATTGGATATATACATTACCCAAAAGAAGTCATTACAAAGAAACACACAAGTAGTGTGAACAAAGCTAATGTTTATAAAATCGTACCTGCAGCCTAACCGTGAAAACTTTCTATAGTAGGCTAAATCAGTAAGTGATTTTTAGTTATATGAAATACTTAAATCAAGATTTCGGCATAAAATAGCTTATGCAAATTTTACCAATACAATCTCTAGTACAATGTGACATTGATAAAAAGAAGAAAAACAAAATGAGGTAGGATTATTTAAACGGAGTGTTATCGTGGTTTGATATGGTTGATTTGGATGATTTGTTTAATTCGGCTAAACTCTTTAACTTGTTTGGTTTGATATAGGTGAAATGTTGGGCTGCTAAACGGGGTATCATCGATGGTGTCAACGTAATCCAACTGGTGAGTCGATATCGGGCCCGCTATAGGCCCAATCAGGCTTCCACTAGCCTTCACGATCACGATCGGCAAAAGTGAAATGGCGCCACCGCTCCCCGTCCGTCACGGCAAAGGCGGCAGCTCCCGTCACCGGCGGCATCTGAACCTGGATTTTTTTCCTACCCTAACTCACTCTCACATCAAAATCATTACAAATCTCAAATTACAGCGATAAAGATAGTACACAGGGATGAAATGTTCCAAAATGGCAAAGAGAGGAAAAAACAAGAACCACCACCACCATTGCTCGCTATCTCATGGAAGATGATGATGCATCTCCTTCAGCTTCAGCTTTACAAGCCGAATCCCGAGCTCGATCCCTACTGCGACGCTTACCGCCTTCCCCAGAGAAGCTAGCTTTCGCCAGCTCCCTCAGCTTCCTAAGCTCACTCCTTTCCTCAACCATGGCTTCTGTTTCCCCTCTCCCTCCAGCATTATCTGGACTCGCCATGGGTACCACCGTAGCAGACATAGCTCGGAATGAATTCCCACGTGGCGGTGGCACATCTGTGTCGGGACTCAACTGAGGAACGCTGGACAGTCCGGTCTTTGGTTGGGATGAACTCGGTAAGACAATACTCGACCATTGCTTCCTCGGCAAGAAAGGTAGGATGAGACCTCTGGCCATGAACCGTGGCGTCCACGAGAGTCTTACCAGCCAAGAAACCAACCCATACCATTCGTTCGTGATATGGGCAATGGCGGTGAGCAGGAGAAGAGCCACCATTACATATCCTAGAACTGTAGCCTCCGTCGGATCTGGCTTCTTAGTCGTGACAGCCATGGAAATGGAGAAGATGGCTGCCTCGCATAGCAGGGAAATGCTTTCTACTGCATGGGCACTCCTCTTGATGAAAGGTTTGAGACTCGACAGGTAGACAAATTGTGTCATTGTGATCGCCAAGGCTATGAGGTTGTGCATCCAGTGATCTTTCGAGGTAGTTGCTGCTCCGGATATTACTCCCAAGCTGACTCTTCGAATGAGATCGAGAACTAAGTATGAAGATCTAGCATACCCAAGAAACCTCACGGGGCCAGGAACCTTCAATTCTTCTTCATTGCTGTCATTCGAACTGATGGCTCGCATTCTTCCAATTCCGCCACTTTGGCCACCCTCACTCCACTTTGGAACGGTGCTTTGATCAGTTTTATCAACGAAGATGAAGAAAGGGGGGCCCTTTTGATTCTCAAAGAGGCTTCTGAAGTTCTGTAGGAGAGACGAAGTGGAGCCTTCTCTGTAGACCCACTTCCCCATTACTGGTCTGCTGATGATAAAGAACCACAGCTTTTCATACCATGCCTCCCTCACAATCGTATACTTAATCTCCTTGTATTGAACAAATTTCCCAGGAAGAATGGCGACTAGGAGGAAGAGTAAGACGGATAAAATGAATGCTGCCGGGATGACCAGCAACAAAGCTCCAGTGATCATGCCTCCAATTGTTCCACCTGCAAAAGATGACTCGTATTATTTTGCCATTATCTATAAAAAAAAATGAGACGTATTTTCTGCTGAACATACTGTTTGGGAGATGAATGAACAAAGATTTGAAAAGTAGGTCTCCTGTGTTAGTTCCTCTCACCTTTAACGACAAATGCTGCTGACTGAGAGATACAAGGTAACATAACGATTAGAAGAAGGATCTCGAACCTTGGAAATGAAACCATTCCAAAATTAACTGATGTTGTTGATCCTGTCCTCCATCTCAGGAGAAGGAATATTGAAATATGGAGTGCAAGCAAACTGCCTGCAATCGCAGCAAGCCAAAATAGGTTCATCTCCATGTCTTCCCACCTAATGAAACAACAGCATTGAATCATGAGTTGATGAGGTTTTCATCACAGTCAAAGCCATTCTGAATAAGAATTGAGCAACGTCTCACCCTTTATTGTTTTCCAGTTTCTTCACGACATTGCTGGCAGACAAGGGCTCTCCTCTCTGCAATGAAAGGATGAATAAGGCTGTATTTAGAGAGAATTGTTTTATCAAATCAAGATATCACCAGAGCATGGTAAGTTGAGGATACCAGCCAAGAAATAAGTAAAGGATTCGGCTGAATTGAGAGGATACCAACCAAGAAATAAGTAAAGTATTCGGCTGAATTGAGAGGTTGTCCATACTGAGCACTTCGCGAGCTCACAGCTTTCCCACGAAACCCATCATAACTCGTGAAGTTCCCCTGGTGCTTATGCTCACCAACGGGAAGCATAGGAAGTCCAACGGCCATGAAACCTTTTATCCCACTAGTAATATGAAAATGGTTGGTCCAAGTTATAGTTGAAATCTTTCTCCATGGAAGCTTGCCACGAGGTATAAGCCACTTGAGACCTTTTACTGTCTCTGAATATTCAATTGGATGATTGGGAGAGAACCAATCTGACATCACAAAGACTTGGAGATGCCCAAACATTCCCTGTAAAGCATGAATTTCAGCATGTAAACAATAAACCAGCACAAACAGGTAGTTTTTGGTCCAGGAATGCTGGACACTCAAACTTACATGCAGATTAGTTGATGGACTTGGAGCAACGAATTTGGTTTCTCCTGTTAAGAGAGCACTTATTATTCCGATATTGGCATAGGATAGTGAAAGACAAGCCACTGCAAGTGATGTTGCTAGTACTCCAGCAGTGATAAAGGATTGGAGTGCCGTTGAGACTGCAGGGGTTGAATCTGCTCAAGTATTCAATATGAAATGTCAGAGCCCTCATTGCTTGTCAGAACATAACCAGGTACAGTTACAACAGAAATTATTCTTACAGTGCTTCAGTTGAACTCTGTTGGATGCCAGATTCTGATTTCCAGAAATATCACTTACTTTGCCAGCAAGAACAGAAACAGAGAGTGTTTTCTCAGCTTCAACAATGACGGTCAATGAGTATAGTGCTCTTGAGAGTTCCTTAAACCTGAAGAAAGTAAAAGATTAGACCTTTTTGAGCTGTTTGTTCAGGCCTCGGTTTGCAGCACTTCATTTGTACCTGCCTTGCAATCTTCCCTCCATGTACTTCTACCATTGAGGGATCAAAGCCAAAAACTGGCTTCGTGAACTCCGCAACAAAATTGATGCGAGAAGCTTTTGTCACATTTTGCAAGTCAGAACTTAGCCCTACTGCAGGGTCCTCCGTATCTAAGATGAAAACTTACTTGAATTATTTCACTTCCCAAGATAGGAGTACATTGAAAAACTAAGAACAAGTTACAATGGAAAAAGGACCTACCATAGAGAATTGTCAGTGGGGAAACCGGTGAAGTGGGAGTGCCAGTCCTACCAATTATCAAACTGGTTTCAAGCTCAATCACGATGATTTCGGTACGGGATACATTCATGAGCTGGAAAAAAATAATGTTAGTCTAATTCAAGTTCATTATAGGCAGCAATGCTGATCATGGAAGTCTAAGAGAAGAGCTCACCCGAAAAGCAAACTTGCCATTCCCCTGATGTCCACTAAGAACAGATGATACAGAACCTGACTTGACATGTAATGCACTTAGGACTTCCTCTGTCGAATTCTTTATGGGATTACTGAAATCCAGGAAAATTTTTAATTCTTCCATTTTGTTAGTTGAGAGAACAGTTCTTGGCACTCCATTGATCTTCAGCACATAGGATGAAACAGGCATCCATAAATCTGCCACCACTGGTCTCCTGTCTAATGACAATAGTGACAATAAATCAAACTGAGAAATTAAAACATCGGTGACTTACTGGTCCAGAGGAGGATGATTTAACTGACCAAAGCGAACAATCATCGCCGAATTTTTGCTCCTTGTAAAAGGGTTTCCAGCTTTATCTCTACAAGAACCATTCACCATTCTGATAACAACACGGCCGTACATACTTCCCATGGAGAGGGCTATGTCAACTTCGTATTTCAGGTTCGGTTTAACAGCCCGCAGAGAAGAAGCATCAATAGAACCTGGACCGTCTATCAAAACCTGCAAAACACAAGGAACACATCAATTTCACATCACGTAGTTGACATTTGTGTTAGAGCTGGAAACTTTTTCTTACATCACAGTGTGATGAGTTCAAGCACTTCAACCCACAAGCCTCACTGAAGGTGACATCAACAGTTACTTTTGCAGCATTTGTGTAACTATCTTCACTAGACAAAGTGGCTGTTGGCGGAATTGTATCTGCCGATATATTGGAAGCTTCTGAATCAGCAGAATGAGTTACAGATAAACAGGAGCAGATGAAAGAAGCTGGATGGAAAAGGTTGCTAACCGATGAACCATGAATAAGAGGAAGAGTTTCTGTCCCCATTCTGAGTTGTGACATTCAAAAGGAAAGTATGCTTCTGATTCACTGTCAAGTTCCTCAACACTATGGAGTCAGCTGGGCATGATCTCAAAGCTTGGTCATCAAGCTGGTGGAAAGCCAAGTAAAAATGGTAAAGGGAAATTCTGAATAAGTTCTCTTTCCCATTTATGATTCCCAGGAAGTTGTCCAAATAGAAGAAAGTTTACCTCACAGGCTATAAAACAGCCATTGCTGCTGCATGCATTCCTGCCATCCGACCCTTCAACGGAATACTTGAATACAGCAGTTGAGAACCTTGAAACCGCAGATGGTGCCTCATGGAAATGAATTATTACAACAGATTGAGCTGAATCCAATGCACCTGCCACAATCACTGCTGTACAAAGTACAAATAACTTGAACAAACCCATTTTGCAAGAATCAATGGCCTCTTCAGATTTGAGACGGGAATTGAAGAAGGGACAGACAAGCAAGCAAACAAAAGAGAGCTTTCATACTATTATGTTTTGTTCTCTATTTTAATGATTTATGTTGGACGACAAGGAAAATACATAAAAGATGCAAGACAGCTACCAGAATTTATTGTTGTCAGACCATAGTTGCTCGCCATAAAGACTCACATTTTCTCATTAACAACCACTATCCGAAATCCATATCGTAGTATGTATGCCTTCTGCAGACCATGTTTCTCTTTCCTCGCTCGCTCTCTCTCTTTCTTTCTCTCTTCTGTCCTCCAATGTACTCATCAGATTCTAACTGTACCTTCATTATTTATAATTGCTGATAAAGTAAATGCATTCAGCTGCACAAACAGGAGAAGGAGCTTTCATTACAGCACACTGCACAGTAAGATTGGCCTAATGGACCAATGTTTCCAGAAGATGATAAGAAACCACACATTGCAGATCCACAGCTTCACCCTGAGGCTGTGGGACTGATGAGGGGTGAAGCAAGTCCACATTTATTATTTTCACCGTCCAAAAAGACCAAACTCCATGAAATGTTAGTCAATCGCCATATGAAAACTGTGTACTCCGAGTAATAATGAACTATAGCAACATACTCCCTCTTCGGTGCTTTTGTAACAAAGAGATTAATGATAATCACAATGGTCAGCTTCAAGGCTAAAATTGAAGGCCACAAATATTATGCTAAATTTAATTCATACCCAATTGAGAAAATTAGCAGGAACAGACAATGGAGTTCCTCATGACAGGTCTTACTCCCTCAGCTATACATTTCATTTTACTTAGATTATCAACAAGATCTTGAATTAGCTGTACAATGTCGTCTTAAAAGTCTCAAGCAAACAAGATTCAGCAGGATTTACATATCTCAAGTAGTATAAGGTATAAGGTCTTCAGGCTTTAAAGCTGATTCACTGTCTTCTTCAGACTCCATCCACGGCAGTTTAGGTCCCTGAGAATTTTCCATTTATGAAATCAGTACACGTAACATCAAAGTTAAAATGAACTGTTCTCCCTTCCATTTTCCCAAACGGGGGAAAAAAAGAAGAAAAAAACTGTTCCTCCTTATTACACAAGCTCGGTTACCTTTCCTTGCCGTACGACTACTGGAGTTATTCTTGTCATGTCAACCACAGTGGAAGGATCAGCAACTCTCACACCGCCATCGATAATGAAATCCAGTCCCTACATCAACAAGCCAGAAAGGTTGAGCAATCCAAAAAAAGGATAAGAGGAAGGTGAAACTTTAGCAGATGGATAAATGGTACCTCTGGTCCATATGCATCGGCTATTGCAACAGGATCCAACAACCATTCATTTTCCTTAAGGCCCTTCACGCTGATGCAAAGAACAAGGAAGTAGAAGGTTCAGATTTCCGTACTCAAATTGCTTCTGTAACCTCATTGTCAGACTCAGGCATGCCTGAGGCCATTATCCAGCCAAAGTTTATGTTTCTTCCCAAAACAGCAAAGGAAATTCAAGTGGAACAAAAACCTTGTGGAAATCAGTGGTGCGTCAAGCTTTTCAAGTATTGCCCGGCAAATGGCATCATCCGGCATCCTGACGCCCACATCCTTCCGAGCAGCATATTTGGCAGTTGGAGTCCCATACCTCATACATCGTTTAGGCAACTCCTTGCTTGCAGTCAATATGAAAGTGTACTGTCACATAAATGCATAGCCACAAATGAGGAAGTAAGAATAGCCATGATCATCAATCCAATCAAGTATCACCAGTACATCCTATTGAGATGCAGATGCAATGTAATGGAAACTTCCCAGTGATTTAACCAATACAACCAAATCAGGAACTACATCGCCTTCCCAAATGCCCGTAAATTTAAGAGCAGACCCAGCTTACATCCTTACTTACCGGTCCGGGTAAACAATGCTTAACAGCTCGGAAGATACTCGCATGTCCTTGGCCATCACCGCGAGGGAAACCAGTCGTGTACATGTCTATATCTCGCAAAGAGCGGCATAAGATGCTGAGAGGCTGCATTTCACAGCATGCAAGTAATCAAGTCAGAACTACTCCATTCAGCAACTGTTGGAGTAAGTTGATTAATCAGCAACAACAGTTTTGCTCCCTACCTTGGATGGTTCAATGTGTTTAATCCTGCAAGCAACAACAAAAAGCCGTAAGGTCATGCCACCATTAAAGTCCATGCCAGGGCTACCAACAAATTCAGAACGCCTTCGAAAAAGGGAGAAAACTAGTACCTACGAAGACGTTCAATAGCTGATGGGCTCTTCAAATCACAAACTATGGCGTACCTAATAAACGAACGAGGACCAGAAATTCAGCCACCCTAATTAAACTGGACGAAAAAACGATCGATCGCAAGGAAAGCAAAACTGCTCAAATCGTACAGAGTATCAGTGGGAATGACACCAACGGCGCCCTGCTTCAGAAGCTCAACGATGGGATCCAACTTCCAGCTATCCTCTCCATTAGGATCAGCTTCCACATAAACCAACCCGCCCTCCTACCCATTTTAATCGCGATTATAGCAGAAATCCAGAAAAAAGGGAAACCGAAAAGAAGAAGAATCATGAACCTTGGTGAAGCGAGGAGCGGAGTATTTGAGGCGCTTGGGGCTCCTCTTGACAGCCATGGCCAAGACTCGGAAGCGAAGAGGAGGTTTGGCGGGGGCGGGAAACGAGACGCGTGACGGGAATTGAAAAGGGCGGGGCATCCGTGGTGCCGCCAAATCAAGCGTGTGAATTCTGCTTCCCAATCGGACTGTTTTGCTATCCGCCATCTTCGGACAGATTTTGTTGCAGCTGAAGCTAAAGGAGACTTTACCGTACCATCCTGCTGCTGCTGAGATCACTCTCCGATATCGCAGAGAAGAAGAGACGAGAAAAGGGATGATGAAAGTTAAGCAACGGCTATCAGAGAAACGACCTGTCGTTTGTCCGGTACGGATAACAATGGGCCGCTGGCCCGCAGAACACTATGGGCCTAGAAATGCCGCATACGCATAGGAAACATGAATGCACGCATTGCGCTCTCTCTCCTCTCTTTCAGTGATTTTCCCACTTCTTAATTCTGACCCTTTTCTTCCTTCTTCCGTAACAACCCCCCACACTCCACTTTTCTTCAGTTGCCCCCAACCTTTACACCAGATCTGATTCTCTTTTACCAACCGTACGCTCTTCTTTCTCCTCTAGAAAATCATCCCTCTACGGCTCTACCCCAAATCGAACCAGAAAGGAAAGGCTGTGCATATCTATATATGGCGGACTGGGGCCCAGTGATAGTGGCGGTGGTGCTGTTCGTGCTGCTGACTCCAGGCCTGCTGATTCAGATCCCTGGGAGGAACAGAGTGGTGGAGTTCGGGAACATGCAGACCAGCGGCGCTTCCATCTGTGTCCACGCCATCATCTACTTCGGTCTAATAACCATCTTCCTCATCGCCATCGGCGTCCACATATATGCTGGTTAATTAATCAAGACTCTGTACTACGGAGGCAGTTTCCCAGTTCGCTCTCGCCGCTTTCACTTTTTCAAGTTTCTCCGCTTCTTTTGCGTTTCTATTTTCCTGTTTTTGGGCTGTAAGAAGGAATTAATGGCCTCCGTTTGGACTTTGTACTACCCAATATGCAGGTATAGTGTTGATTCTCAGGTCACCATATCTCTGATCGCCGCTCAGATTTCATTTCTGTATTTTCACTATTTTGTCTTTTCTTACTTTTTTAATATTTATTGCTTTTTTTCTGGACCGTAACTTGAAAACCTGTGTGATATGTTTGAGGCTTTTAGCCCGCAAACATAAACCCGAATGAGGCCCACATTTGATGGACTCTTACTGAAATAGTCAACCTAAAAATCAGCCCATTACCATTAGGGAAGTCAAAAAAAATTGAAGGGTTCCGACCTAAAATTGAACCAAATCGGCATAAAACCAGATTGAAAGTGGTTTAACAAGTGCTAGAATTAACTTTCATCTCACATTCCATCCACGACCAAAATCAGATGCTGAATTAATAGAATTTCATCGTCTCGATGTATTAAACCCGAAAGAAAATGACATCCAGCATACACTCCTCATCGATCCATCCAAGCCAATTCCTACATAGAGGTTTTCCTTTTTACCTAAAGAACCAATATGGCAACACAAGAACCACAGAAGTGATGGTAACAACTCTTGGAACTCATTATTATCAAGTCTACACCGATAGAAAAATATATGCTACCAAAAAGGTCAAAATTTAGGCAATAAATAGACGGACCACTACATTTCATTTGATTCCCCTTGGCAGCAGGAGCAGCTCCGTTGCCAGCCTCGAAAAGACATGCTTTCCAGGTTGGAAGAACCGAAGCTGTCTTACCGGGGAGCTGGTGGAGGGGCGGGAGGCATCTGGGATTTAGCGAACCCGATCCAGGCGACAATCCCAACAGCCAGAATTACCCACCCGAATGCGTCGTAAGTAAAATCGGTGTTCTTATTCTTCTTCTTCGTACCCTGGGAAGAAATATACACACGAGACACAAGCACCAAGGTTTAAACGTCATCGAAGCTTAATCGTTGAAGCCCAAGTCTGGGTACTTCTTGCATCATGTAAAAGAGAGAAGGAAAAAGGTTCTAGATAGATCATTAGAGAAATCGCTACAACCTACAAGTGAAGGTAGATGGGAGGGACAATAGAATTACCCTTGTGCTTGTTGAGGTGGAAGGTCCTCCCGTGTCAGGTTTGTTGAACTCAATTGGCTGACCGCCTATTGAACTATGCTTATGGATCTCCGCGTGCAAATCTGGTGCCTTGCGAATTACGACCAGACAAGCATACAAAAAGATCAATAACACAGAAACCAGCCAAGGAAACATACAATTTCACTGAGAAAAAACTCCCAAGACAGCCTATTCCAAATGAAATTCTTAACATGAACAGAAGATCAAGTACGTTCAAGAGAGCAGCTGCATAATTCGTAATCCTTGAAATTTCTATCAACAACGCCATCAAAATGTTCCAAAAAAGACAGAATTGAGAGTTCATTTTGCTGAAGAGAGAAAAACTTCACAGTTCACTGAGTCACACATAGATCTATTGGAGCACAGAACCGGGGGGAGACCCATTTACAGTCTTTAGCGAAAGATCAACCAAAAGATTTCCATCAAATCTGTTGCCAAAATAAATTGGCTTTGGTAACATCTTGCCAAGCAGTTCAGTACAGATGTGTTTCCTGGATGAAACTGGCTGTTCAGAACTCACTAGCAAGAAGAGATAATTGGCAAGGTCCGTGGTTAACTAAGACATATTATTGGTACAATTAACAAACAAAATGATGCTTGTAAACACATAGCCGGCCACTCTACACTCTTGCCAACAAAATTGCAACTCCAATTACTCTACGACATTGGAAAGGTAAAATTAGTATTTTAAAACAAACGCTCTCCCCATCCTTTATAGGATCTACATAATATATAAGATCTTGAAAAGGGGTGAATGAAAGTTACCTTAGAAGCCACTTCTAGAGATTTGAGGTACAACTCATTGGTTGGATCCTACAAAAGAAACCAAACTACTATCATCATCATACATCTAAACAACAATAGCATAAAAACCAGCTAAACAGCAATGCAGCTCCACTAGGACAACGTTGACACGAGAGGGAAAGGTACCTCATCAACAGCTTGCTGAAAGTAGGCAGCTGCCTTCTTGAAATATACATCTGCTTCCTCCTCGTCGGGGGTTAAGAATGCAAATGACGTATGAGCATTTCCCAAGCACCATAAGGTGTCATGCTTCTTGGGGTTTATCAACAACGCCTCCTCAAACTTGTTCATTCCATCTGGCCAAACGAGAAAAAAAAACTCCCAAATCAGCTTATCTCCAAAGATCCAGGATTTGGAGAGAAAACAAAAAAGAACTACCCATTGCCGAGAGACCTATGCACGTTCAATCACCTTGAATCATTTTCTTAGAATCTGCAACGCTCTGAAACTGAGCCAGCTCCAACAGAGATCCACCCCACCTCGTCAAGTTCTGCCCAACCGAAACAATTCATAAAAACAATGTTTTATCAAATTCAAGCAACCTACAATTGATTCACCAGCCCTCCTAATTCAATTCAGAAGAACCCAAATCGATAGAGATTCTCTCGCAGCAAAATCCTAATCGAAGGATGAGTAGAAGAGTTGAAGGATTGAACGCACCTCGGCATCGAGAGGATTGTTGGCGTAGGCGGCCTCGGCGGTCTTCCGAGCGTGCTCGAAGAATAGTATCCTATCGAACTCGTTCCCAGCAAGTTCCATGGTGGCTGATTTACTGAACCACCGCGGAGGAAATCCGGTGGAGCTTCGGGAGGGAAAGGACAGTGTTAAGAGTGTGTTCCTTCGTGCCTAAACCCTAGGGATGAAGCAGCGAGCTGCAAGCAAATGCAATAGAAAACTTGGGGAAAGTAAAGCAGCCATGAAACACGCGCGTGAATGTATGCGCGTGCGCGGGAGTCCCTTACAAGGCTGAAGCGACGACGTAAGTTGTTCTGTCTGACTGTCTCGAATAACATTCGAAGAGGGAAGGGTGAGTCCCCCACGCGAATGAGTGATCGTGTATGAAGTACGACCATCTTGAGTGATGTGGAATCCCCTCGCGGTTGGGAACTGTGGAACGACGTGATGTTGTCCACGTGTAACGTTGATTGTCTTGTATAATTGCAGTCTGGGATTTGGGCTTCGATTAATAAGTAAGAGTGCAGGCCCATGTTTGCCAAAAGGTCACAAGTTTTTTTGAAGCCCTAGTCTCGGGCTTTGAAGTTACGGGCCCATACTAAAGCTAAACATGTTGATCCACACCAAGTTAGGTTTTTGAATGGCCAAGAACGGAGCGGGACATGACAGGACAGGGCAAGTCGAAAGTAGATACTCATGTCTCGCCTCACACTACTATGGGTCAGGTCGGATAATACTCACGGGCGGGTTCAAATTGACATCATTACTTATATGGAATTGAACGAACTCGGGTGAGTATGAATCGGAACATCATTTGGTGTTTCAGTTTGTTCACTCAAATCTAAGTAAGTACCGTATTAATGTTATTGATCAGACTTTATGGAATTGCCTTTGGAACCTGAAGGTCCCGCCAAAATTAATTTTCTTTTCTTTGGCAATGTTTGCACCGCGAGGTCTTGGTTGTTTGAGGGTTGGACTTGATTCATGTGCCATTTGTTAGCAATAGAAAAGAAGAATATATTGAACATTTATTCTTCTTTTGTCATTTGGCTAGTCATTTCTGGTGTGACATATGTTTTCATCATTCTCTTTCAACTTGATCGAAGGGGTCCTTTGCGATTTTCTTGCGTTAGAATTTGTTCTCAATTTTAACTAACAAAGACAAACTAACAAAGACCATTATAAGTCGTTGCATTTTGTTTGTGGGTTGTGAATACTATGGAAGAACCATTGCAAAGTCGTGTTTGATTATCTCCACGCACTACTCAAATTTTGGTTAGGCAATGGGGTTATCAAGTCAGTGAATTTGATTGGGCAATTATTAGCCCTGTTGAGGACTCTGATACGAGCCTACAACCATCGCTCAGCCGCTTCCTCCTCATCCGACTGTGCCACACGACCAGTTGTCGTATTTATTGAAACAAAATATAGTTTGAAAGTTGTGATTGTTAAATAAATTGTATTGTTGTGAATACATGTAATGTTGAATTCGATGCATTATAAAATACAACGTTTGGTATGTGTGTTTGTGCATGTCACATCAGTTAAAAGTCGAGATAAAATAATATCAACTCAGTTATCTCAACAATCTCAGCCAAAGGTTGAGATATAACAATCACTCATTTTGAGTGATAGTTTTGTCACATCATAGAAACAATCCATGTATTGTGTCCGATACAAAATCAAAACAACAATGCATTCTAAACAATACAAGTACAGTAACAAGCTCACAAAAATAATTGCAACTTAAAAACGATCCTAAAATGATTAGGTGCAGAAATTCAAAACAACAATGCATTGTGAACAATGCATATGCATTCTAACTATCTCAACCAGACAATCACCAAAACCAAACGACTCCTTAACTATCACTCATTTTGAGTGATAGTTTGTGTCACATTAAACAAACAATGCATGTATTGTTTGTGGAGAGAAAAAAAATGCATGGTGGACAAAACATGCATTGTAACTATCTCAACCAAACAATTTGTAAAACCAACCCCTAGAGGGGTCGTTTGGAAGTTGCGATTGTTAAATAGATGTATTGTTGAGAATGCATGTATAATATTATACATGTATTGTCGAATTTGATGCATTGTTGAATACAACGTTTGGTATGTGTGATTGTGTATGTCGCATCAGCTAAAAGCTGAGACAAAACAATCTCAACTCAACTATCTCAACAATCACAACTAAAAGTTGAGATATAACAATCACTCAAAATGAGTGATAGTTTCTGCTAAAAAAACAAAAAAAACGATGCATTGTAAACAATATATGCATAATGACAATCTCAACAAAACAATCGCAACTTCCAAACGACCCCTAATGTATTACCCATTCAAATATATTCTCCGGGAATGCGTTAGGGTGAATACTAATTTTT